TATAAGGCCTCCACATCCAGACCAACCAAAAGAGTACCTGGGGGAACTTCTAAATCCTGAATTTGCAAGATCAAATGAGGGGTGTCCCTAACATAAGAAGCTAAGGACTCAACATGTGGTTTGAGGAAGTAGTCTATGTAAGTGCTCACATTTTCAGTCAGTGACCCACATCCGGAAACTATGGGTCTCTCCGGGGGCTTGTCTAGTGACTTGTGGATCTTAGGGAGGGCATAAAGCACCTGAGTCCTAGGAAAGGGCACCCTTAGAAAATCCAAAGTGCCCTTCTCGATAAGACCCAGGTCAAAAGCCTCCCCTAATACTTTTTCCAAATCTGATTGGAAAGACCCCATAGTGGATGCTTCTATGGGCCGATACCAAGCTTCGTTGTCTAGGATCCTCATGACCATCTCTGTGTATTGTTCGTTGGTCATGATCACTACATTTCCGCCCTTGTCCGCCTGTTTTATCACTATGTTTTTGTTGTTTATTAAATCTTCCAAAGCCGTTCTCTCCGCGGAGGTAAGATTATCCTCCTTAATTCTAATTGGTACAGCAAGCATAATATCCTCACTCACCCTTTTAACATAGTTCCATATATTCACATTCTGCGACAAGGGCGGAAATGTTTTGGATTTACGCTTGAAGGATTGTTTGGCGGGGGAGGGAGCTTCTAGTTCATCCTCGTCCTCATCAGAGACATGTCCCTCCTCCCAGAGTTCCCGTAGATCTCTAAGCGCCCTATAATCTTTTCTGGAGAAGTCTTTCCAATCATCAAGGATGCCCCCCAGAGGTAAACTCTCCTTATCATGCTTTTGCTTTAATAGCAATCTGCATGCAAAAAGGTTGACATCCTTGATGATTTCAAATCTATCTGGTAAGGCCTCTGGGCAGAAGGTCAAGCCTCTCGCAATGAGCTTTAACTGTATTTCTGTGAATGAGTGTGAGCTCAAATTAATGACCTGTAAACTATCCTCTATTGGGGTCGTTTGAGGAGGTATTGATCTAAAATTGTTTTCCTCGTATTGGTTGTGTGTAGGGGCGGTCCTTGTACTTTTTCTTTTTTTCTTTCTGTCAGGCCAGGGGCCCCCTCCAAATGAATTGGTGGGGGTCCCATCTCCCCTAAAAAAGACCCTTCATGTCTCGTTCTTTGGTGTTGCATTCCTCTAGTTCTAATGTCCATCCCAGGATTATCTGAGGTGTATACTTGTCTATCCTGTCGTCCCTTGGAGTCCCTCCAAGTGGCCCCATTTCTGTGTTTTTGTGAACATGTGTTGTACTTTCCTAAACGAGGGGCTACTACTTCCTCCGAAGAGGACAAACAGGAATCAGTTTCCTCTGACTGGGTTTCCCCCTCACCCCCTCTACTCCTATTTGTGTACATACCCTTAACATTGGGATTTTTATATCTGTTCCAATTTTTATACTGTCCCCCATCTGTAGGCCGTCCCTCCCGCATATGCGGTTCTGTCTCTTTCAAATTTGGAGTCCTTAATATTTAACAGATCCCTATTGTAGGATTCAACCTGCAAATTCAAATCAGTGACCGTTTTCTCAAAGTCAGCATTGTGTCTAAAGATTTCAAAATCATTGCCTAGGGTTTTCAAGAGTTCATCCGCCTTTTTTAATTCTCCTGTATAGTATTCAATAAGCATAGTTAACATGTTGCGACTACAAATATTGAAGTTGTATTCCCACTGCTTTTTGAAATCCTCAGACACATTTTTGACATTGGGAAAGATCTGTGGCCGCAACCCCTTGGGACAAATCTCATGTTCTACATATTTCTCCAGATACACCTTGTTCCAGTATAACCTGGATTTGTGTTCATAGGCCTTTTTTAGTTTATTTTTTGTATCTCTAAAGTCACGTTCTATCGTTTTTTTGTCATGGTCATCTCCTCGGTCCTTTCTGACCTTGGAAACCATGGCGTCCCATTCAAACATAATGCTTCAATAGTAGCGTGCTCACAAACTTTTGTAAGACTCAGGTCTCACATGAAAATCTATCCCGGCCGAACATCTGAACTGCGCATGCACCCGCCCCAAGATCCTTTGCGGCCGCCCGAGAAATTTTCAGATGTTCGGATGGGAGCGCGCGGCGAAGACACAGATAAGTTTAAACCTCTTTCAAAAGGTTTTGTTTTTTTTTAATTAAGTTTTTGCATATATCTACTGCTTGCTAGCAGTAGATATATGCAAAAAAAACGTGAGGGTTTAAATAACCCTTTAAGCCACAAGTGCTCATATGTCAACAGGCACACTTTAAAGGCTAAATGTACTTTTCTGATCATGTTTCATGTTACATCTAGAGGGTGTAACATGAAACATGGTCACATCACAACACCCTACCCACTTACCTGAATAGCAGTTTTCTTCTCCCTCCAGGCTCCTGTATATTTTTGAATTTGGTGCAGCTATGCATGGGTCCATCTACACAGCCAACAGCCATCATGGCAGAAGGACTTGCAACTCTCAATGGAATACAAGTGCGGTGATGTCACCACGCTTGTAATCCATTCATTCTTCGTCCTGTCCTCCTTACTAAATGTCCATACCGAAGTACAGACATGGAGGGAGAGTCTGCAGGAGCCAGAGCATTGCACTGATCATGGCTGCAATGCTTTAATGGCTCTAATGCAAAAAAGTAATAAATGCACATATTTTATTTAAGGAGAAGTGTGCATTTCCATCACTTTTTCTAAAGGATGGACTTTGCAGTTTTGGTTGAATCAAAGTCTCTTTAGGAAGCTAGGAAGCCTCCCGTAGCCTTCTTTTGGAAGGTCCTGTAAGTCATCACGCTCTATAGAGTGTATTGGACGTGAGGACGCTTAGGGACATACCATCGCTGGTGCGGAGGAAGAGACAGGCTGGAGGGAGCAGTGTAGGTTTTAATAACTCTGTTATTTTAGCTCCCTGGGCAAAACTGGCACCTAACCCTTGCAGTGGGGAGGTAGCCCCACTGCAAGGGTTAAGATTAAATTTGTCCAGAGTTCTTCCTTAATTGGAACCTCCGCTCTCAATAGTGTAAGCTTATCCTGAAAAGCCAAATTATAACTGGGCTCAGTATCCTGAACCTTGCTGCATGTGTTATATACTGTAGGTAGGTAACCACTATTCTTAATCTTATTTTATTACAGGTATTTATATAGAAGTACTAACCACTAAGCCACTGTGCTGCCCTGGTCGATTGATTGTAATATGGGTTCCAGGCTAGCTCTTTTTAGATAATGAGCCCCAATTCAAGTACATCACCACCTGTGGGCATACAATGTAAATTCTGGCGTATTTCCCCACCATGTGGAGGTGCTGCATGCAGCCTCCAAAGAACTAAGTGGCTGTATGCTGGTATACGCCCGACTTGCGTAAACCATACCTCCCAACTGAGAAAAGGGAAACCTTCCAGCATAATGGAGGACATTTACTACAACTGGAAAAGAGAGAATCTACAGCCGCTGTGAATGTATGTAACGTAATACTGAATGAGTATTTATGTCCTATGTTCTTCAGTTCCATCTAGTGGCCATAATACAGTATTACATTACATACATTCAGCCTGAAAAAATATTTCAAAGAATGAACATTTGTTTTTGCATCTATTCACACACAATGAACATTCAGAAAGATTCACAGGGCAAATGGCTCTGCAACCTGATTATAAATAGACCGCTTTATTTCTTGTGAACCGCAAATAGTCTAATTCATCACACAACTCACAGTGGAAACTTTGCATTGCATGAAAATCTCTCTTCAATCAGTAGTGGCTGATTATCGGTAGTGCAAGCAAGGCAAATGTACAGTAGCCTATAGCAATTGAATGAATCATATGATGAAATGACTAGTAGAGCTGTTTTCTTTACACTGCTTAAAGTCAATGTTTTGGTATTAAACAGTAATTGCATTCCAATTCCTTTATAGCTGTTAGTAAGCTTTGTCACCACTGTACAACAATCACTATCTGAGCTGAACAGTGCTGGTGTTTATAAGTCAATCCCAACGTACTCATTACACCATCAAAGTTTTCTAGCTGTCAATAAACTTTGCCACCACTGTACAAGAATCACTATCTGAGCTGAACAGCACTGGTATTTATAAGTCAATCCTACAGGTTTCCTTACACCATCAAAGTTTTCTAGCTGTCAATAAACTTTGTCACCACTGTACAAGAATCACTATCTGAGCTGAACAGCACTGGTATTTATAAGTCAATCCTACAGGTTTCCTTACACCATCAAAATTTTCTAGCTGTCAGTACATTTTGTCACCGCTGTACAAGAATCACTATCTGAGCTGAACAGCAATTGTATTTATAAGTCAATCCTACAGGTTTCCTTACACCATCAAAGTTTTCTAGCTGTCAGTAAACTTTGTCACCGCTGTACAAGGATCACTATCGTAGCTGTCACTTAACTTTGTGACCACTGTACAAGGACCGCTATTGGAGCTGAACAGCACTGGAGTTTATAAGTTGATCATAAGGTTTTCATTTCACCATCAAAGTTTTCTAGCTGTCAGTAAACTTTGTCACTGCTGTACAAGGATCACTGTCCTAGCTGAACAGCACTGGCATTTATAAGTCAATCCTAAGATTTTTCATTACACCATCAAAGATTTTGAGCTGTTAGTAAACTTTGTCACTTTGTCACTGTTTTCTAGCTGTCAGCAAACTTTGTCACTGCTTTACAAGGATCACTATCCGAGCTGAACCGCATAGGCATTTATAAGTCAATCCTAAGATTTTTTTATTAGACTATCAAAGATTTCTTGCTGTCAGTAAACTTTCTGACCACATTACAAGCATCATTATCCAAGCTGAACAGCGCTGGTATTTATAAGTCAAACCTAAAATTTTCATTACACCATCAAAGTTTTCTAGCGGTCAGTAAACTTTGTGACCACTGTACAAGTATCACTATCCGGGTTGAACAGCACTGGTATATATAAGTACATCATGACACCATGAAAGGTTTGAAATAAAAGAAGTTGGGATATGATCCCACTCACCGGAGGAAGAAGAAGTAGGAGTGACCCTGCACCACTGTATAGGAGTGACAGTCAAAGTATCCCAGTCCGGTGATGTTGAGCCTGGATCCTGCAGGCACCTCCAGCATACTGCCCCATCCCTGATCACACAGCATTTCAATCTCTGCAGAATAGAAGAAGGTGCTGTCCCCTGACTCATACTGCCAGGGCAGGTAGTTGTAGATACTGCTGAATATACTACTGTGTGTCTCCTGATGGACAGCCAATACCTTGGCATAGACTATGATCTGTGCCAACTCTGCTCTGCAGCCCTCGCTCAGGTGCCTCCAGTCAGATGACAGCTGACAGCACAGGGCACCTCTCCATACAAACAGGGCTGTGATCACCAAGTGCAGCATGGCAGGCTTGTCACTGTCCTTGTCACTTCTTGACACCTGAATGGAAAGTAAAGAAATGAGTCCTCCCAAGGTTTACACATAAAGTAGACATTCCATTGCAATAATCTTTTCACATGATATGTGCTAGTGATCTGCAGAGAGTCATCATCATCTTCTCTAGTATTGGAAGGCTTGGCCTGTCCCTTTGACGTGTCCTGTCCTGCAGCCCCACACTGCTTAGCCTGGACTGAACAGATAGTTTAAAAGGACTCCAGCCGTCCCTGCCCGCCCCTCTGCTTCTTACATCACACGCAATACATTAAGGGGGAGTGCATGAAAGGCAACTCTACAACAATTCAATCATCTGTTACAAAGGAGTTACATGAGATGTGCTGGAAAGGCTTCTAGGTCTGCAGTGTGATCAGAGTAGTGAATGATTAAAACATGTTCACTGAAATGAAATCCTAAGGACTGCAAGTATTACATGATAAACTATGCAATGAAATACAAGAAGTTCGTCAAGGGAGATTCCAGCTTTTAGAGAAAACATATAATAAAAGCAAACTTCTTTATAAAAGAAAAGAATTTGAATTTCTTTGTATCTTTGCATTATAAAAAGTCAGAAAAGCATTGCAATCATGATTAGTGGATCGTGGGTGCAATGCTCTCCCCCTCCTTCTCCTCCAGACTCTTCCTCTCATCCAGGGCTAACAGTAAAAGATGCAACCTGGGGCATCTCTTTGGGCCACATGGGGGGGGCAGCAGGCAGAGCAGCATGGCAAAATGTTTGCAGTGTGCCTGCCACCCCCTTTCTGGCCACAGCGTCCCAGGTTGCTAAGAGCCAGGTGGGGAGATGTGTAAGAGCCATACACATGCCCCTGCTTAGCTCTTAGCAACCTGGGATGCAGTCCTGTCCAACTCCTGGCAACCAGTGACGTCACTGGTTGCCAGGAGCTGGGCAGGATGCCGGCCACAGCATCCCAGGTTGCTAAGAGCTGGGCTCTGCAGATGTGTATCTGCAGAGCCTGCAGAGGGCGGCATGCACCAAACACGACCCCAGCCCTCCCGCTCCCGCCTTAGGCGGCAAAAAGGCTAGGGACACCACTGATTTCATCTATGCACCTCAGTATGGACATTCAGTAACATGGACAGGAGGAAGAATGAATGGACTACAAGTCCTGTGCTGTGATGTGATGTCTCCGCACTTGTATTCCATTGGGAAGTACAAGTCCCTCTGCTGCGGTTGCTTTCTCCATTCACTGATCCTATCAAAGTATCAGTGAATGGATGATGTGGTTGTGTGAACGGAGCCACACACAGCCATGCCGATTTAAAAAATGTACACCAGCCTGCAGGGAGCAGAACCCCGTGATTCAGGTAAGTGGGTGGGGGGTTGCAATGTGACCATGTTTCATGTTACACATTTACACCCTAAATATGAATGTAACATGAAACATGGTCAGGAAAGTTAACGTAGCTTTTGAATTGTACGTCTACCCATAGGCATCCCCAGGCTGGGTGTCAGCTGGTGTGGTCACCAGGTGTCACACACTGGGACATCGCCACACACGTGTGCAACGTCATTACCCATGCACTTGACGTCATTATAGATGCGCATGACTTCATTACGCATGCACGTGATGTTATCACGCACAAGCGTGCATGAAATGACTTCATGCGCACTTCATGGCCGGTGGCCATCACGGTGATGGATGCCGGCAAAAAGAGGAGGGTCCCCTCCTCTCTCGTGCATCTGTCGGGCTCTCGGTCCATGACAAAGTGTCCAATTTTTCAGAAGGGGTAACACCAAAATGACTGTCAGAGCAGAGCTCCAGCCTTTCATTGTGGTTACTGGAACACTAAATGGCCTGCTTTCTCCTCAATCTTTCAGGGTTTGTTCACAAGGGCAGCCAAAGGGTCTTAAAAAAAAGGTTGTTGATCTGCATTTTTACCACCTGCCTAAAACTTGATGTAGTGGCTGGTGTTCCAGCAACCGATTACATCATGGTGACAAAGCACCAGTGTGGCACCTGGTTGGCATCTCCTCCCCTGCTCATTTCTGTCAACACTGGGATCAGCATCTTGCCCGCTAGCTATGTGCGGAGCATGGCCTATGCTAAGCTGTTAGTGGCGGAGCACCTCAACCCTGAGATAGTCAGAGGATATCTGGGGTGTGTGGGGGGGGGGCGTAGAGTTCCTCATGTAAAGGCAAGACTGGGGGCTCCTGGTATGAGGGGAGGACTGGGGACTCCTGACGTGAAGGTAAAGGTGCCCATACACCTTACGATTATCTTACGATAATCGTATGCGATCAACTTTTCGTAACGTGTGAATAGAGTGCCCGACCGATAGTACTGTACAATCGTACGACTTTTGACGGTCAAGCATGTTTGAAAACTTTGGTTGATCGTACGATGTTCGCATGGTTGGTGGCGTTTCCACCCGTCGTACAATTAACACTGCGCTCAAACTAAAATAGTTGTGGTCAATTACCGCAAGTCGTCCAGGTGGTTTTTTTTAACTACCGCTGATTGAACCTTGCGATAATCTGTGCAGGATGGGGCCGTCGTATGAAAATCGTACGACGGTTCGATCATCGGACGAAAAGTTTCGTCCGATAATCGTAAGGTGAGTTAAAGGTAGGGCTGGAGGCTCCTAATGTAAAGGTATGCCTGGGAGCTCCTGATGTGAAAGTAGGACAGCGGGCTCCTGATGTGAAAGTGGGCTGCTAGTGTGAAGTAATGCTTATGATGTGAAGGGCAGACTCTGATGTGAAAGAAGGGCAATCTGATGTGATGGAAAGAACCCAACATTGTTTCTTTTTGGGTATTTTTTTGCGTGGGGTTATCCCTTAAAATCCATACCAGACCCCTAACTTCAATTTAAACCTAAGACTAAGTAACACTAAAGGCTGGTTGCAGTAGCAAACTGAATCGTCCCACAATTTGTTTAAACTGGATTTCCATATGTAATAACTAGACCTGGCATAATGGAGTGGCGATAGGCGGGCAATGCTTCCCCAAAATGTATTACGTGCCCCTCTCCCTACATATCTATCTTACAGCATTTTCTTTTAATATATTTCAAAGCATGGATGGTCACCATTAAAGATTTCGGCCTCATTCACACACAACGCAAGCAAAATTGTATATTGCATATATATATACGTCTATGCGCGTCTATGCGAGCGTCTATGCGCGTATATATGAGCGTATGTGCGTATATGTGTGCACTATTTGTATTCCCAGAATGCATCATTCCTAATGGAAATTTTAATGAACTGTACGCATAAACATGCGCATGCGCGTAAAATACGCAGAAATACGCTGCCCAGACACATCTCGGTTCCATTCTGTTTTTGTGCATGTATACGCTACGCAAATATACGGCTCCATGCGGCTCCATACGCGGCTATGTGTATGGAACCATTTATTTGCATATGTTGCATTAGGTACAATACGCACATACTGTACGTGCGTATACGCGCGGAAGTGTGAATGAGGCCTAACTAGTTGGTAAGGGCAACACCTCTATTCTCCCTTTCTTCCAGTTTTCATACATTAAGCACAAAGTATTTTTAATTTCCTGATAATTATGCTGCCTATTCTGATAGATAAATGGCACTGCCATCTTGAAAAGAAAAACACCTGTCTTATTAACATGCTACTGCAAAATATAATAAAATGTACTTGATCATTGCCTTTGTGTAGTCTGTGTTAGATCTGTCCTAGTTAGAGCTTTTTAACAATGAACTATTATTCAGTCTGACATCAGATGAATTCACGGATACAGCTTTGTACAGAATGCCAAGTTGGTATGGCAATTTGGCTTGGTGGTCTTCTTTAAACAAAACCAATCTACCCAGCAAATGCCTCAACCAGCAACGTTATTCCATTTATTTCCTAGTAACATTACATTGTTTTGACATGGATTCTTTCTTGTTCCTGGAATTTACATAACAGCTGATTGAAATATATCTTAATACAGGTTGATTAATCAGAATAGCTTCTTTTGTATCTATAAAGTTATTTATTATAGGTGGTGACATTATTTTATGTTTGCCTGTCATGCAAATTAACATATTCTCATACAACAATTCTTTATTTAGGCTAAACTATATTCATTGTACTTACTACCTCCTGGAATTTACAGGAACAATGGGTTTAGGCTTTATCCTATGCTTCCAGCCCACCTAAGAGTTCCTACAGGAAACCTTTTTTATGAGAGACATGTCGGCTTCCATTGTTACTTCTCATGCTGAGAATGCTAGATTCCATGCTGTCATGATCACCCTCTTGCTTCAGTACCCTTTATCCCATACCAGGACAAGCCTGCAAAAAAGGATGTCTGACTTTTTAAATATGCATACATGTTCCAGATTAATGACCAAACCTTACTCTACTCAGCTTGTCAGTGGACTAGCCAGACAACCAGCACCATCTGAAAGGGATTGGCAATTACAGCCCCCATGTGCCACTCAAGAAGACCTCCTTCAAACTGTGTATAGTGTTAAGACAACTGTGTTAATTCAACAATTTACCATTTGTTAAAGCATGTTACTTTAAGGCAACCCTTTCATTTTCAAAATTTTGTTACCTTACCTTGGCCTGGTGGTCAGTGGGGGGCTCCCTGGACCCTGGTTGTGGGGGGGGGGGACCCCGGCATGTTAGAGGGCCCCCTGCTGGAGCCTCCCGAGCACCTCCTTGAGGAGCAGCGGCCGCACCATTCACAAAGCCGCGTCGGATGCGGAGGGCGGGCGGCTGGGTGCAGGTGGCAGCGGCCGGGGGTCATTCGCGGTGGCATCAGAGAGGCACGGGGGGCAATTGCCACCCTGCCCCCTGGCCCAGTCCGCCCCTGGCTCCGTGTATGATACTGGCTCTGTTTACTAATCTCCTGGTTCCAGAATCCGGCTATTGTACTTGCTCATCCTGTTCTCTGTGTTTCCAGACTGACTCGGCTGACTACCCTTTGGTGTCTGACCACTGGCTCAGTTCTGCCTACATCTTGGATTTAACTTTTGATTTGATAGTTTCTTTATTGTCGTTTTCAATAAACTCCTTTATTTATTAACCTACAGTTTTATTTTACATCTGGTTTGTTGGTATCCAGACATCATCAGAAATCAACCAGCAAACTGGCAGAGTGTCACCGGAACCCAAAGTTCCACCACCCAGACACAGATAACAACCACAAACAACACACACATTAATGTCCAAGGGGTCAAGATATCACGCCTGC